CAGGTGTATGCATGAGCGCTGGTGTGTGCACACAATGTGGGCGTGCGCACACAATAAAGCAGTAAACAGGGAAATTTACTTAACCCAAAATCTACGGTTTTAAAGCAAGTAGACCCTGTGATTAGTTGGTATTGTTCCAGCGCCCTTTGATTATTTTGTCACCCTTGCTGTTGTTGGCTTTGTGTTCAGGCTAGTAGCATGATGACTATAGACTATCTATCTGTAAAATTCAAACAGCTTTGAAAAAATAATCTGGGGGCTTTTTTGGTGGGGAAGTACCCCTTCGTATATCTAGAAGCAACAGCTTCACATTTTGATAGACTTATTTAGTAAAGGGTTCTACTATTTTGTAGCATTTTAAAAAGATCATTTTATTGGGGGCTCGTACAACTCTTATCACATCCATCCATACATCCGTTGTGTCAAGTACATTTGTTGCCATTATCATGCTCAAAACATTTTCTTTCTATTTGAGCCCTTGGTATCAGCTTCTCACCCCCCCTCGCTCTCCCCCACCTTCCCTACTTCATAAACCCTTGATAATTTATGAATTATTATTTTTCATGTCTTACACTGACTGATGTCTCCCTTCACTTTTTTGTTGTCCATTCCCCTGGGAGAGGGTTATAGAAAGATCATTGTGATTGGTTCTCCCTATCTCCCTCCACCTACCCCTTAACCTCCTGGTATGGCTCCTCTCAATATTGGTCCCGAGGGGTTTATCTGCCCTGGATTCCCTGTGTTTCCAGCTCTTATCTGTACCCTTGTACATGCTCTGATCTAGCCAGATTTGTAAGGTAGAATTGGGGTCATGATAGTGGGATGGAGGAAGCATTAAAGAACTTGAGCAGCAGTTCTCAACCTGTGGGTCACGACCCCTTTGGGGGTCGACCGACCCTTTCACAGGGTTCACCTGATTCATAACAGTAGCAAAATTACAGTTATGAAGTAGCAACAAAAATAATTTTATGGTTGGGGGGGTCACCACAACATGAGGGAACTGTATTAAAGGGTCACGGCATTAGGAAGGCCGAGAACCACTGAACTAGAGGAAAGTTGTATGTTTCATCGGTGCTACACTGCACTCTGACTGGCTCGTCTCCTCCCCACGACCCTTCTGTAAGGGGATGTCCAGTTGCCTACAGATGGGCTTTGTGTCTTCACTCAACACACCCCCTCATTCACAATGATATGAATTTTTGTTCTGGGTCTTTGTTGCCTGATACCTGATCCTACCGACCCTTGTGATCGCACAGGCTGGTGTGCTTCTTCCATGTGGGTTTTGTTGCTTCTCAGCTAGATGGCTGCTTGTTATATCTTCAAGCCTTTAAGACCCCAGATGCTGTACCTTTTGATAGCCGGGCACCATCAGCTTTCTTCTCCACATTTGTTTAGTAGCATCATTTTTTTTACTTGCCTACATATATGTAGCCATATACACTTATGTATAAACTTATGGTTACAGCTATACCTTGCTGTGGATTGATTCGTGCTCCTCAAAAGTGTGTCAGCTTGACTGGGCTATGATTCTTACGGGTTTGACCTTTATGTAATGTGGTTGTTACTTAATGATGGAATCATCCCCTTGTTGCCATTTTATGTGATCAGTCCTGTTCTAATGTAAGGGGACTAGAGCGGAATCCTACAACAGCCTTAAGCAGCCCTGACTGGTGTAAGATAATTTCCTGAGGTAGTCCCTTTTGTCTTAAAAGAAATAAAAGGGAAAAGGAGGACCTACTACCGCCAAGAAAGAAGAGCCAGGAGGAGAGCACATTGTTTGGACCCAGTGTCCCTGCTCTGGTGCCCTCCTAGACCTAGGGTAAGATTGATGCCAAGACAAAAATTGAGGCTCGAAAGGACCTTTCTCCAGAACTGATAAGGAAATCCTGCTCTAGAAATGTTGCTTCTGAGTCTACTTCTGTTCTCAAGGAGAAGGCTTTTGGTCTCTCTCCTTTGAGAATAATGTTGGAAGTTGTATATGCCTTTAAATAGTACGTTGTTGTGTTGTTGGTCAGAGTTTACAGAATAGATGAGGTTTCCATTGAGCAATTGACAAAGATTGTTCAGTGACATTGATTGCATTCTTCATAGTGTATATACATTCTCATTGTTTCTGTTTTGATTGGTCAGTGATCTTGCTTCCCTGCCCCCTACCTACTCATTTTTTTTTAAAGTAATTGTTGACTATTTGATCTCCACGTAGATGATTTTTTAAGGAATGCAGTACTTGTGGATAATAGTTTTTATTTTGTGAGCTGATCTATTACTTAGTTAAAAGATAACCTCAGGGTAGTTTTTGTTCAAGGCTTAAAAAATATCCCAGGACAATAGTTTTGGGAAGTCCTTTGGTCCCAACTGGTCTAGTAACTTGAAGGTCTATTCTACTTTTTTTCTACCCATTCCGTCAGGCTCCATCTGTTGTGGCTCTGATTCATAATGGTATTGCTAGCTGGGCACCATCTGATAAACAAATACTTCTAGTTTAAGGGTAGATGAGGCGGTGTTGTGGTGGATAGTTTGTCTTGCAAACTAGTTCCTTCTCTGAGTCTTAGGTTTTCTTCTGGGCCATAGAATCTTAAACTAGAAAAGTGAAATGTATGGGTGGTAAGTGATGAACTGTAGGTCCCCATGGACATAGTGACCAAGAAAACTAGGCTAATGAACTAGAGAGAGAAGATGTGTTGGTCAGAGGGTAGAATGCTTAAAATGTAGATTTAATGAGCAAGGAGTGGGTGACTTTAGCCATTAAAATAGAGGATTGTTTGTGATTAGGTTGAGAAACTGAGAGATTGCGTTTGGATGCACTGTCTTGGATGCTGATACAGTAGAATGGACGACAGTGAACTGGGTGCTGATATCTTCAGTGCACAAGGAATAGTCACTGGGGTGTGACTAGATGGCTTGTGTACTAAGACAGGCCAATCCAAAAGAAGCATTGGAGAAGTAGTAGCCTGGTATTGGCAAAAGAAGAAAAATGATCTGGAAACAAAGACATAGTGTCCTTCTTAAAAATTGAAAGTTTCTATATATCAAAGATATTAAACACAAAGTATAAAAAAATAAGCAGAAAATATATTTATAGCACGTTTATCATAAATGGGTAGAATATTTAATATAAAATTATTACTCCAAATTAATTTTTAAAAACTAGCTTGGTAGCAAAATGAGCCAAGAATATGAATTTTCAGTTTACAAAGGAGGAAATGCAAATGGCCAGACATAAAAAGAGACTCAAGATCAGCACAAAGCCAATGTTTTGAGGTGGATAGAGGTCAGGCATACTCCTGACAGCAGGCATCCCCCAATTGGATTATCTCCTCTGCTGGATTCAGTAATTTGTTGGAGTGGCCACATAGAATTTAGAGACCACACTCATAATTATGTTTACTGGAGAAGTAGCAGGATCAGGGTCAATGTCTAAGTAATCAGATACAGCTCCGGAAAACAGGATCAAGTTCTTTGGTTAGGACCGTTTCCAGCCAGGACAGCTTTCAGCTCCTTTCTCTAGCTCAGTGGTGCTCAACCTTCCTAATGCCTCAACCCTTTAATACAGTTCCTCATGTTGTGGTGACCCCAACCATAACATTATTTTTGTTGCTACTTCATAACTAATTTTACTACTGTTATGAATCGGGTAACCCCTGTGAAAGGGTCTTCAACCCCCAAAGGGGTCATGGCCCACAGGTTGAAAACCTCTGCTCTAGCTGGTGGCCTTACTCTTGGCCCCTGGGCCTCAGTAGACCTTTCCAGTCCTTACCTGTGCTGCTTGTGCTCTCTGGACCTTGCCTCTTACCTGTTTAGGCTAACAGCTCTTGGCTCTGCTGACCAGTGCCTGGAGCCACCCCACTTGGCCAACAAGCCTCCTATCAGAAGGCCCTCAACTCTCTCTCTATAGGACATCAAGCTCCACTGCAATCATCCGCTTGGTCTAGTGATTCCCTCTGCTTATACTGCTGCTACTGCCTTGCACTGGTGTGTGTTGTCTTCTGTGTTATAGCACTTGACCTGTATTATAGCTCTTAGGAGGTTGCCTCTCTCTCTTATTGCCTCTCTGTGGGGAATCTCTGTTGGAGTAGCAGCTTATATAACCAAGCTTTCTATCATTTTCAAGACATAGCTTTTCTAGCTGGGCCACAAACCAATCAATCCTTGGAAGGTCATGTAATCTTTTTGGGTGGTTTCATGTACCCTATTTGCATAGTCAACTGACTGATTCCCTCAAAATACATAACATAAGCCTAAATACTCAATTTTGGCAGAATTATAAACCCAAGGTCAAATATAAGTAAAACTCATTGCATTGTACCCATCATATTGTTAAGACCTAAAAATATTAATAAACTTTAGGCTTACATGAATGTGGCAATACAAGTGCTAATGTACATTGTTGTAGGAGTGTTATAGTTAGCCACTTCAGAAACAGCAGTTAAATAAATGACTACAGTGACCTGTTGTGTGTTATGCCCGGATGCACCTGCCTAGCACAATTACACCGTCTTCAGTGTTGTATCTTAAATGCATTCTACTTGTAACTGGGGAGAAAGATGTTGCAGTCTGCTTCCATAAAGATTACAGCCATGGAAAACCCTGTAAGACAGTTCTGCTCGGTCTGCCCTCTAGGGTCACTGTGAGTTGGAATCAACGCAGCAGGTTTACTTGTAATGGTAACTGTTATTCTTATTTTTAAAAGCCATTTCATATTTATAATAAATTCTTGGGTCATTTTCATGGTACATAGTATATGATCTTTCAGAAAGATTTTGATAATATTCTTATTTCTGTTGTTTTAATATTCTATATCCTTTATTTTAAGTGTGTGTTAAGAATTTGTTTTATTTAGATTTATGTAGTAACTACTGCAGATATAACTACCATTTTATGGTAATAGTAAACTATGTGCTCATAATGCTTAACTTGGGATTGTACGGAGGGTAAATAAAGCTATTTTAAATATGAGAAATTCTGATGGATTTAAGCTTTTCTTTTTATTTAAATTACAGACTAACTGGATCGTCAGGATTTGTAACAGATGGACCTGGAAATTATAAATATAAAACAAAGTGCACATGGCTCATTGAAGGACAGTAAGTAATAATGGTTTCCTTTTTCTTTAGGGTAGAACTCAGTATGACATTATTTCTATTAGAAATGAAATTAAGCATCTGTAGCTTAAAATGCTTTAATATTATTTTATTATGTAAATTTTCATTTGGCCGGTGAATTTGAGTTTTTTTTTCCTTGATCTTCACTGTTGATTAAAAAGAAATTTCAAGATCACAGATGAATTACATACATGTGAAATTTGTATATTTTCAACTGTAATAGTTTCAAAAACAATTGCATGGTTTTAAAACTAATATTTTATTGTGTCTTTGGTGAGGGCTTACACAACAGTTTAGGTTCCTACTCAGTGTCTATAGTTTGTTTAGTGGTCTTGGTTACCTTCTTCACAGTGCATGAATATTCCTCCAGCTGTTGCCTTCTTTTGCTCCTTTCTACAAAATAAACTTTTAAAGCAGTGTCTCTCAAATTTTTTATCTTTATTCTCTTGAACTTAATATTTTTGTTTTTATGGATCATGTTTGCTATATTAGAAATTAAATTTTAAAATATTCATTATTTTAAAACAACAATAACAAACCTACTACATGTTAGTACAAATGACATATTTATGAAAAAAGCTCCACCTACATTTAAAAAAAATTAGTGAAAAGAATAGCATTGTTTTACATTTTTTAAAATCTCTTCAAGGTATCTGAATTAACCTATTTGGTACATTCAGTTTGTTGTGATATGTTCTTGTGGTTAAAGTACATGAAGAAAATCAGGTCTCACCTGACTCTATAGTAGAAAAAAAGAAAATTGCTGTGTGATCTCTGTCACAGTATCAGTCCACTTTTTGAACTCTGTTACATTAAAATTCTTTGGTTTTCTTGCACATCGCTCTTTTACCCTTGCATGTTTTTGTAACATGATGCATGAGTCAGTCATTTGGAAAATATTGCTTCACTGAATTATGTAGGTCTTATAAGCATGGATACATTTTGTAATATGAAAAGTTAACAATAGTTATTAATTATCACCCCTGACTCTCGTCTGAAAGTTCTAAGTATTGGGAATTTTATCTGAGTGCCTGATAAGAATTTTCCAAAATTTAAATTGTGTTGAAATCTCATTATTGACAACAAATAGTGTCAATTTTTTTTAAGTGACAGGTTTGTTTCTTTGAAGTGACAAGCATTTTCTACACAGTATCTGCTGAATATCCAAGTCCAAAAAACTAATTTGTCCATTGTTCTTTCAAGTAAAAATAGGAGGAAAGGTGACTAGTCCAGCTCACACACAAGCTCAAGTAATTGCGAGAGCGATGTTTCTTGAGACAGCCACCGCATTTCCATATGGTAGCCAAGTGCTACTTCCCTTTTTGCATTCCTCCCATCTTGTGACAAAATATTAAAAAGTGATGTACTCATTGGTTTTACTGTTTCATCCAAGACATCCTTAAGTGAAATAGGCCCTTTTCCTGTTGGGTCTACAAATGTGTGGGGTAAGGAATGCAGTGATTGCTAGTGCAGCATGGGACTACTTCCCTCATTTGTTTAAAGGTGCCAGCAATTTTTTTCTGGCACCATTAGTAAATGTCACCAAAGTGGTGAAGGGCCTTGACAGCTTAGTATCATTGTGAAGAGTTTTGATCTCCTGGGCCTCCTAACACACTCTTAGGGCCTCTGGTGGTCCGTGGCCCACACTAGGAGCATTACTTCTCTAAGGAGTTTTCTGCTCTTGTCCTGTACCTCAGATCATTCCAGCTGTTGCCCTCCCCTGCGGCTCTGAATGTGCTCTCACTGCTTGTGGCCCTGCTTGTGGCCCTCGGTCTCTGAGCAAAAAGCTTGAACCCTCCAAAAACCACATCGAGAAACAAGAAACAGACAGGCCCAAACTCTTGGTCTCTCTGTTTTTTCAGCTTCCACATTCAGCATGTTAGAAGTACTCTCAGTTTTCCCTTCAGGGTTTTATTTTAAGAGCCACCATCCTCTTTAGCCCTGGCTTTCTGTAATATCCTAGAAAATTGGATTCCTGGTTTTTGGTTTTGGCTCCTCCTACCTCTCCCTTTTTATACCATTTTCTCTGTTTCAGGCATCACTGATTTTCTTCGTGTTACCTCTTTCACTGAGTTACACCTCAATGCTTCTTTTCCCCTTAGCACCTTGCCACACTATTCCGTCTGTCTGGAACATTGTACCCCAGACTTTTCACTTGACTTCTCCATCGTCATTCTAATGTCCAGCGCCTTCGGAAGTAACTCTTCACCACCTGTTGAAGTACTGTATCATTTTTCATCGTACTCATCACCATCTGCATTAACTTGTTTATTTACATAGTTTTTTACTTAGAGTTGTTAGACAAGTGTAGGGGACAGGACAGGTCTAGACTGGAAAAATATATTTAAGCATCATTAAAAGCATAAACAAAACTCCCTGCCATCGAGTCAATTCTGACTCATAGTGGATTCTGAAGAACAGGGTAGAACTGCGCCTGTGGGTTTCCCACACTAACTCTTTTGGGGAGCACAAAGCTTTGACTTTCTCCCGAGGAGTGGCTGGTGGTGGTGAATTACTGATGTTGTGGTTTGCAGCCCAACTCGGAACCACTATGCCACCAAGGCCCCTTAAACATCAGCGTGAGGGTATGAAAGATGTTGAATGCCCTCCCTAGATTCTAAATGCTTGAGTGTAGCAGAGATGTTACTTGTTGGTCTCGTTTACCATTGTATCCCTGAACCTAGAATGTTTTATTTGATAATTATTTTTAACACACACAAGCACACATAAGCAGCCACTTTCACAATTAAAGGTTTCAAATTTTGTTGCATGTTCATGAATAGAACTGTGAATAATAGATTTACTAGGTATTCCTGATCAAGCTCAGAGCCTTTTGTATTTGTATTTGTTTTAGTTATGGGTTGTTTTTAATCTGTTGTATTTGTCATGAGGAGAAGTAAAAATGAAAGATGAGGTACTGTCGCTCTTATATTTATTCATTAAATCAAATCAACACATTTATTCTTTGCTTCGTGTTTTCAGTTTGTTCCTGAAGTCCTTGCTGCTAAAGAAGTACTGTTAAATGAAAAAATACTCATTAATTTTAATGACACAAATGATGATGTATTTATTCCATATCAACCTCAAATACCGAATTTTTTACAGATAAAAACTATGTCATTAAAAAATTGAAACAGCAACCATTTGAAACTAAATATGATTTGCACACAAAATGTAAAGAATGCTTATTTTACTCAAAAAAGGAAAATGAAAGACTTGGTTGTGTTTGGTGTTAGAGGCCAGGAGGTTGTCCCTTTCTGGAAGGCATATTATTTTCAAATAATATGCTAGATCTTCTTGTAACAATTCCACAGTGCAAGAAGGGAGCACTACTAAGTGTGAAGACAGCTAAAGCCAGATTGTTTCTTAATAGGTCAGAATGCTTTAGCCGTTATATAATGTTGGCACATATATAACAGAGCATACAAATCACTCAGTGTCCATTTCTCATCTTTCAATGCATGTTTACATCTACACTGCATTGATTACTACAGTGAGCAAAATAGCTCATATAGCAATCTAAAATCAATCTTTTAGATAGCCCAGTGATTTAAAATCAACTAAAGGAAAGCTCCCCCACCACAGGTATTTTGTATGTAATCTTCTGTTACTGTGATAAGTGAAAAGCCATGTACTTTACAACGAATCTAAAAGACGTATATTTACAGACAGTACCATTTCTTAGCTTTTAAATAGAAGAATCTTCAAAATTAGGTGTGTTTCATAAGTAAAACATCAATTTTATGTCAATTGTACAAATGTCTCATTTATGAAAAAAAGAATAATTTGATTCAAAGGCTTCCAAAATACCTTGTCAAAACAAGTGTAAAGCTAAAAACCAGAAATGGAGTAAACTAATATAATATACCAGAAATGAAGTAAACTAATATAAACCACCTCTTAGCATTACTTTCCACAAAATACATAGCCAGTAAGCTAGGTAAAATACTTACCTCTATTAGAGCGTTTGTCTAGTCAGACAGACTAGCTAAAATGCTCTGGGCAAGCCACAGAACCTCAGTGCCCCATCTTATCAAATGAGGACACCGGACCATTGCTCTTCCACGTCCCTCCCATCCTACGAATGTATCTGTCCTAACCACTGCCATCAAGTTAATTCCAACTCATAGTAGCCCTTAAGGGCAGAGTAGAACTGCCCCTTTGGGTTTCCAAAGTTGTGCAAGAAGGTTTTATGCTATTTGTATGTTTCCATCATTTTTTTAACCTTTTAGGGGCTAGTGGCTTTCATTCCTTCAAACTAGGGTTAAAGTTAAAGCATAGAAAAACTCCTTTAGAGCAGAATAAAGTTTACATAAGCAAGCGTTCAAAATGTGTACTGCCCATGTATAGCAACTGAAAAGTCCTGGATGATATTCTCTCTTCATCCCAAAGTAAACTACATTTTTTTTAAATGCTGGGGAGAAGAAATAAATATGTTACATCAGGTATTGTCTGACTAGAAGCTGATGTGTTAAGTTGATGAGTATCTTTCCTGAAACAACAATGTTGAAACAGATGTATTTCATTTTTAGTGAAAAAAATCCTTGTCATTTTTTTTAAGTCACCCCCAAATTGGTACAACTTCAAAAAGTTGTTATGGGGAAATGTTAAGCAAAATCATCATGTGGATTAAATCTTTATTGAATGCTATCTTGTACTCGAGAACAGACCTGGTCTCTTCCATCAAAGAACTTAGCATCCTGAGGGGAAGGCAGATGCTAGGTATGTCTGATGGTAACGATGACTAGTTTGTTATAAATTGCTTTTTTATTCTTTTCAGGCCAAACAGAATAATGAGACTTCGTTTCAATCATTTTGCTACAGAGTGTAGTTGGGACCATTTGTACGTTTATGATGGGGACTCAATTTATGCACCACTCATTGCTGCCTTTAGGTAAGCTCAATCATCTAGATACTAGTTAATCACTATTTGTTTTCTGAGTTTAAACTTACTTTTCAAACTGCATTCCTAGTGGAGTTAACTTTATTAGTTCTTCACCTGTTTATTTCCTGGAAAGAGTAGTCAGCCTAGGCGCCAACCTCTTGTGTGTTAGTCTTGGTTTATCTCTACCTACTAGGTAAGTTTAAAGTCACACTATTTGACCTTCCTCTTCAGTTCCTTGACATGTATAATTTTGAAAATAATGTCAAGGTTACCTGCTCCTCTTTATAGTAGTGAAGCTTACATATTTTGTGAGTAATTTTTGAGTAATTATTACTTCTCTGAAGGATTTAAATCAGGTACTATACCCATTCTGTTCCTTGCTGAATCTCATTTATGTAGGAGTTATTTGTTGAACTTAGATATTGTGTGCCTGTAAGGGTATCTGTATATATGTGATCGTGTAGCTTAGGGAAACTTTGGAGGGATTCACATGAAATGGAGAGTAATTAATTGCTACAAATGAGGAAAATAGAGTTATGTATTGTGATCCCCCCCCCCCCCACCAACAAATACATTCTATATTAGTAATTTAGCTGAACAAAGCAGGTTAGCACCAAATATACCTGGTGTTTTGAATTGTTTTTGGTGTTTTAGTTTTCCCTAACAAGAAGTAGCCGTGTTGTATATTTTGTTTTTGAATATTTGAGAATTCAAAATATTTTTCTTTTGTATACTCGTTAATTTTTAAATTTTATTTGATTGTTTTAGGTGAACATTTACATAGCAAATTAGTTTCCCATTCAACAATTGGTACATAAATTGTTCATTGATGTGGGTTCTCTGCACTGTTTCAGCCTTCTTCCCGTTTTCACCGTGCTGTCACCATGTCTGTCTCTCGTGGTGTCCTCCAGATTCATTCTCCATGTTATGTTTCGTGGCCTCAGAAGCATTCTTTATCTCTGCATAATATTTCATTGTATGTATGGACCACGTGTGTTTGCCCATTCATCCATTGATGTACACTTACGTTGTTTCCAACCTTTTGCTTTTGTGAATAGGACTGCAGTGAACATGAGTGTGCATACACCTATTTGTGCCACTATATGTTCTAGGATAGAGAGCTTAAATCAAATACCTTTTTCTAAAATATGCATTCCCATAGGAAACCAGAGTTGTCCGTTTTATTGCCATCTGCAACTGGCTTTATTGATTCCCTCAAACATTTTATTTTCCTGACTTTAAAATAATCAGTTTAACAAATATTTGTGTGTTCCTCACATGGGCTAGTCCGGATGATGACCCATGCGGGTGAGGGAGGTAACAAAGTCAACAGTGCATTATGAGCTAAAGGGCAGAGATCAGGGAACTACAGTGACCTTGGTTTCCCTCGACTATCCTTGGCACAGAAAACTCTCTGACATATCTTTGAATAGAGAACCAAAGCCATTTGGGGGGTTCAAAGGTTCACGTGTGAATCTAGAGGATCGGTAGATAGGCCATGCTGGGCTTTTAAATTGGCATTGGTTAAGTGCTGGGTCTTGTATATCTTTATGCCATCATTTGAAGCATACTTTGTATTATAACCTGAGGTACCAAAAACTTTAACACAGGTGCAAAAAATATGTATGGTAGGATATCTTGATAGCACTTGTTGGGGGTTCACTTGTTATTGGGTTCATTAATCAGATATTCTTCTTTGTGCCAGACACTTTGAATCAGCTTACTAGTAGCTCTTGTCAGGTGTATCCAACCTGTACTTTATCTGCACCATATAGTGTATTTGATGTGCAGACTTGTGAGTTCCATATCAATAAGCAAACAAGCATAAAGCTATAATTCTAATCAGTGGTTTCGAAGAGAAGTCAAAGGATATCGGTAGAACAGAACTCTTAGTCCTGTTTAAAAGTGGGTTGATAATAAAAAGGAATGCATTATTTTTAAGAGTGAACTTATGATATATTTGAGTGTACTATTCTAAGATTTTCTAAGTCATCTCTAAAATTTGTGAAAATAGGTATTTACCCATTGAAATTTGCCTAAGACCAAAAAAATCTTAAAACCTCCATGTGCAGAACAATTGAGAGCCCCTGTCTCCGACTATAAGCAGCTGTCTCTGGGGATCTGAGGAGTGCTGTTGGCAGAAGGGCTTTGGTTAGTCATCAGCATGGAGGTAGTGTACTTGATGCCCAGAGTAGAGGGAGCCAGGCACCAAGGACCATAAATGAAAGAAAAGCCAAAGCCAATGCCAGAGATGTGGACTTTCAGTCAGGGTTCTGCCTGTGCCTCTGTGTGAGCTTGGGTAATTTAAGTGTTCTAGACCTTGGCTCCCATTACCTAAAATGAGAGCCTTGGGTGTTAGTTCTCTCTGGGTCCATTGCAAATGGTGAAGTTTTTAATGTGACTCTACGCAAGTCAAATTTGAGAACCACTGGCCCAGTTCATCTCTTAAGTCCCTTCTAGCTTGACGACATGGTTTTTGTGGTGGATTTGACAGGCGTGGAGTAAGTAGGTGCTCAGTGAGGGTCTGGTGGGGAGATGTAGAGATGCTGGTAGTGGTGAATGGAGTAGGGTGAGCAGTTTTGCTGCTGAGAACTTTCTGGAAAAGAATCAGAGTGTGGTTTTTGAAGAAGGTCCTATATTGGGGCAGTTGTGGAGACCATGGAGAAGAGCTGGTAGAGGAAGCTCCATGAATGCAGGGCTCAGTCAGCGTGCCTCGCACTTAATTGAACCCATAGCACTCAGGCTGTGATACTTAGAAGGAGTCATTGGGAGGTAGTTCTTTTATGTTCTTGGACCCTCTTTCATCACTTGAAGGTGTAGACCACAGGTTTCTAAACCCACTTCTCGGAAAACAAATTGCTCAGTGCCCCTTTGGCAATTAAAGACGTTTGAACTATAGGCCATAATCCAGGATAAAGTGTAAATATCTGCTTTTGCAGCCCCACTGTATGGTTTTAGTGCCTCCCTGGAGGACTGGGTTGCTCATTTTGGGCAACACTGATGCAGACACTTACCCCTACCACCGGGTCCTGTCTTCTGACTTAAGTATATGACTCACTCGTTGCCCTTGAGGAGGCTAGTCTTGCAAGGAGTAAAGAATGTCAAATCAAGAATTATTATGAAATTTATGTGCCAGGGGGGCTTCAAAAAGTTCCATTTTTCCACGAACAACCCCTCCCCATATTTGAAATGAAATTATATGTCACTAAAGACTCCCAAGTTCATTTTAATTTTACTTTCCCTCCTTTTTTTTTAAAGCCACTCAGACCAATAACTAGGTCCAAGGGGTAAGGAATCTGGATGAATTATTATTATTATTATTATTATTAAAGTCTGTGAGCTTTCCATTAACTTTTTGAAACCCTGTGTACAGTGTTGTTGGTAAAGTAGGGTTTCATCCCAAGAGAGCTTATGCCTACCTGGGACTGTCAGGTTGAATGACCGGTTCATTTAGGTGATTTTTCAGAAATAATGTTAAACACTGGTATTAGATGTTTAAAATAAATGATCATGAAGAACCCCAGGGCAGGCTGCCCTGAGTATGTTCAAATTGAACAGCTGGCTGCTTTATTTACTTATCTCCGGGGGGCAGTAGGAGGGAGCTGGGGGTGGCACAAGGCTGCCAGCTGATGGCACGTCTGTAGTATCTCCACCCACACACCTCCCATCTCTGGGTTGAGATTGTGTTTGTGCTCATTTACTCTGTACAAGTTTATTTTTGTCATTAAACCAGTTGTTATATTTTCACGCTAGAATGTGCTGCTGGAAGAAGTTAGCATACTGCAAAGCTACTCCAGTTGCAAGGTTTTAAAGTGAAGAAGCAAATGCCTAAGCCTGTGGGATTGTGGGGAAGCTGTTCTGCTTCTCTCGTGACGTGACCCTGCTACCCCTTCTTGGCCTTCCTTTTACCACCCCCACCCCCCAACACCAATTCTACCATTCACCCTACATATTTATGTGTCCATGTAAATAGCTACATTCGCCATTGCTTGTTGAGCGCCTACCCAGAGACACTCCACTGTATGTGCTTTCAAGCTCAGTTCTGTCACATCACTGTGAGGAAGGTAGGCTTTTTCTCATTGTGCAGGTGAGGAAACAGGCTCCAACATGTCAGTGACATGCCCAGGCAGATGTCACCATGATCGGTGCTCTTGTCTCCTTGATCCTAAAATTGTTATGAAGGTAGGAGAAGGTGCAGGCTCTCTCACACGTGGTTGGATCCTCCTGATCCTGATCCTTCCAGTGGTACTATTTCTAATGGGAAGTTTGCTTTAGGCATGCCCCTAGCTAGACAGTCTTTCCTGCTCTTTCAAGTACTTAAAACAAATGAGCAAACCTGCTGCCTTCAAGTTAATTCAACTCATGATGATTTCTACAGAACCGAGTTGAACTGTCCCATAGGGTTTCCGAGGTTGTAAATATCTTCAGAAGCAGACTTCCTCACGAAGTAGCTGGTGGAGCAGGCCAGCACTTAACTCACAGTGTCACTAGGATTCCCTTGTTCAATTCCTATTAACCCTTTCAGTATTGAAAGGATCAACACCATTTGCTTAGTTGACTCCAACACATGGTGATCACATGCTTGTCAGCATAGCACTCTGTTCTATAAGATTTTCAGTGGCTGCTTTTTTAGAAGTACAGGGGATTTCAGAATAATATTGCTATAAAATCATAGAAGCCTTTATTAAACAAAAATATCAAAATAAGAAGCTATTGTTTCTCAACTTATGCTCCACCTAAGTCTGTGTAATTCTCAAGGCAGTGTTTCTATCCTTTTAACTCTTCCCCGAACACTCCTGCACACTTTGATTTACACCTTGTCAAAACAATATTTTGGACATCCTTGAGGAATTCAAACTGTGTGCCCTTGAGTTTGGGGAACAAAAAATAGAAAAGAAGTGAGAAGGGAGAAGATTAGGGTGTGGGATAAGATTTCCCAGGGAAGCTCTGGCAAAGGATGAGTAGATAATGCTTGTGATTGAAAAAAAAACTTACTTGGCACATTTTCCTTGCCTTTTCCTCATCACTGCAGTTTTCCATTAAAATAAACTTGTATATGTGTGTGTGTGTGTGTATACATTAAAATAAATGTGTGTGTGTATATATACATTAAAGTGTGTGTGTGTGTGCGTGTGTGTGTGATAAGCCTCCATTGTTGTCCTGTGTCCTTAAAGAAAGCCTATCATGATTACTTCTTTTGGAATTTCCCCCAGTCAGCACAACCTTCTGAGCTGACCTCTCTGCCTTGATTGAACTGGCCTGGGAGAGCCCCTGGGAAGCCTCTGTTTTGATTAGACCTTTTTTTGAAGGCACCATAGTGAGACTAAGACAAGTGTGTTACTGAGAGAGCTTGTCTACAGTTGCCCACAGGTTTTTAAACGCATTTTGTTTAGGATGTGTGCGCTGGAATCCACTCTGCTATCAGGCTCCTTATGAGATCAGCTAAGCTGAAAAGACATGCTAGTAATGTTGGGATTAGGGTGTTTAGAGTCTTAATTTTTAATTTAACTTTTTATTAGAAGTTAAAAGTACATTTTTAATAGTATGTATTTAGCATTCATAAACTCGAAGTTTGTTTTACACCATTTTTCAAAGGGATATTATCGTTTTATTTAAAAGAAAAGGGGTGAGACCATTTCACTTCAGATAGCTTTTGAAATACGATCCAGTATGAAGAGGAGCCTGGCAAAGGATGTGGATCCCCTTCTCGGAGGATCCGAAACTGGAGAGCAGGATATTAGTGGCTAGTTGCCATTCAGTTGATTCTGATTAATGGAGACCCCAAAGAGCCCTAGTAGCATAGTGGTTGCACATTGGTCTGCAGCCCGAAAAATGAGCAGTTGGAAACCCCCAGCTTCTCTGAGGGAGAAAGATTAGACTTTTTCTACTTCCATAAAGATTTAGTCGCAGAAACCCACAGGAAAAGTTTTATTCTGTCCAATAAGGTAGCTGTCAGTCAAAATCGAACCTGTGACAATCACAATGCCGACCTCATGTGTGTCAGGTACATGGTGCTCCATAGGGTTTGTAATGGCTGGTTTTAGGGAGAGGAAATCACCGGACCTATCTCCCAAGGACTGAGACCTCCAACTTTTCAGCAGCCAAGGATATTAACTGTTAGTTCCACCCAGGGGTTCCAGAGAGGGAAATAGCAGTATTTATTGATCTCAGGCATTTGCCCCTCTTCCAGAGTGTAGTTTTTCCAATGGTCAGGCTAGAGTCCAGTTTGGAATCTGGGCCTGCCACAATGTGCACTGCCTGTGATTGAGCTTATCACCTTTTTGAGAAATGTGTTTTCTTTTCAGCGGCCTCATTGTTCCAGAGAGAGATGGCAACGAGACCGTCCCCGAGGTTGTTGCCACATCAGGTTATGCCCTGCTGCATTTTTTTAGTGATGCTGCTTATAATTTGACTGGATTTAATATCACTTACAAGTAAGATATTTTATGTCTGATATTTGTGATTCTACTCAAAAGTATTTGCTTTGTCTTAATAATAATATTAAAGTAATATTGAGGGTTTACTGTGTGCCAGGCATTGTGTTAAGCAGGGGCGTAACCGTGGGCAGTGGTGTCTTGGAAGCCCAGAAAAGAAGTTCCAAGAAGGAGGGAGCTGCCATCTATAGGACTAAACAAGTAAAGAGGCCCTGAGAGGCCAGTAGCCTGATGGGGAACATAGTTCAGGGTAGAAGTTTAGTAGACAGGGCAGTGCAGGTGGGGACGGTGTGTGATGTGTATTATGGAAGGAGAAATGGAAATGTAGGCCTAGGCCAGGGCTTCTCAAACTTCAGGATACACAGGGTTTCCTAAGGACTTGTTGTGGCACGGATTCAGCTACTCTAGCCCCAGAAAATCTGGTTCAGCAGGACTGGGGCCTCAGAAATTCTTGACTTTGCTGCTGCTGCTGCTGCTGCATGTCTATGGTTCACATTCTAAATAGCATTGGCTGGGCCATTCACCCAGACCCCATTTTGGGTTCCCTGTAGATTCCCAGGGGTTAGAGGGTGCAGCCAGCTTGACTGTTGCCATATCTCTCCCTGTAGCAGCCTGGGGAGAGCAGAGAAACTTTCCAGGATGGGAACGTGCCAGAAGAGGGCAATTCAAACAGCTCTCCTCACTGGCAACGCTTTACTCCAGTGCTAGAAAGCTCTTCTAGCTTCGTGCCCTGTGTTCTTCCCAGGATTGCATGTTCTTCTTACCTTGATTGGGCCTTCCTTTCTTGAAGATGGTGTAGAGCATAAACTAATTTGGCCTACTGCGCCCTTTTCAAGGAAGGGGACAAAATTGATTGAGAGACCCTCTAGCAATTACAAACGTTTCTATTATATACCATAATTCAGGATAAAGTGTAGGCTTTTGCAGCCCTCAGAGAGTGGTAGCGTCCACTTGGAGAAACCCTGTCCAAGGAAGACTTGAGCAACCCTACAGGCCAAAATTAGTGTTCATTAAATGAAGGAATGTAAGATTGTTCCTAAATTTTATTATCTCCTAGATTCCAAGATTTATGTTAACTCTAGGTAAGTCCAAAGACATTTTGGTAATCCAAAACCCAAACCCATTGCCATCACATTCGTGGTGATTCATAGCAACCTTACATAGAGTTCCTGAGACTTTATGGGAGCAGACAGCCTCATCTTTCTTCTGCGTAGCAACTGATGCGTTTTCAGCTCTATTTGCAGGAACCCTGGTGGCACTGTGGATTAGAGCTGCTCATGGGGAGACAGATGATTTTTCTGCATCCATTGAGATTTACAGTCTCAGAAACCCAATATACAGGGCTGCTATGAGTTAGACACAACTTGATGGCAGTGGGGTTGGCTTGGGTTTATTTTTAAGACCTTATGAAAAGTCACTTAAACCACGCTGTTTATTCCCAGAAAAATACTCAGCAGGCACGTACATGGATATCATTACTCATTTCCAGCTGCCCTTCTCTCTGAACTGCCTCAGCTGGGGCGGTCCTGAGGTTTCCATCCAGCTGCTCAAATGTTTGCTGGTGTTCTTGGAAAGGGAGGAAAGCCACAAATAACTTTTATTTGCACACACATTAACCCTTCACCTTATTTCTCATTCTAATTCACGTTTTAAGTATAGAGAATTAGACTCATTTTCTCATTACCTCATTTCACCAAATGAAAGTCATTTTCTCATTATCCAATTTAGATAAATGTACAAGCAAACGCTCATACCTGTCATTTTTACTTTTTAGAGATTTTAAATATATTTTGGGTTTTGAGATTTCTGTGCAGCTCTTTGCTCTAAAGAGTGTTGAAAATGATGCCTAACGGCATCTGAATAGAGAAGTTGAATTTTAGGGAGAAGTTGAAGTTTTGCTGACCCTCCTTTTTGTTGATCAGTTACACCTCATTTTGGCTGTGTCCCTGTGCTCATGTATGCTGACTAAGTGTATGTGTAGCAAATTACAGTCTGATATTGTTACAGGTGCAAGGAATAGGTTTTGAACACATAATGAAAATATTTTCCCTCAATTTTCTTTTAGGCCATTAAAAAATGAAGTATGATTGTTGCAACCATTTCAGCATAAGTCAAATATGAAATAACTTAGACTTGATCTTTTGTGAACTATTTCCTTACAAAGGACTGCTTTTCAGTAAAGTTTGCCTAACTGATGTTTTCCTTGCATGCATGTATTATTATATAGAGACTCTCGGTACCACTTTCCAGAGGTGTACCGTTTAATAGAGCTTTTCTACCTAATTGTTAATTTACTTACAGTAATAATACTTTAGAATAATTATTATAAGAATAAATATTCTTTGTCATTGAATTCTGTTTCTTGAAGCTTGTTAAGTAGGTATACGTATTTACTATAACATGTAAAAATACTATACAAATTTTGTGTAATCTGATGGTTATAAATCTTATCACAACTGATATTTTGTGTAGCTGTTAATGCTAGTTGGCTTGTTTTCAGTTTTCATAATTGATTCCCAATTTTCTGACATGCTTAGATACAAAATTTATTAGGAGTTTTTTTTTGTTTCCCACCCTCACACCTTAGAAGAAATCTATACTGTTAAAATATTTCAACAGTGCAGTTATTCTCCCTTTAAAATATTTGAGTTCTGTCCATTCATGGAGTTATCAATACAGTTATCTTAAGTCACATTTAAGACATACAGTAGAGGTCAATAAACTGCTGCACGGAGTTAAATCGGCCCTTCCGTTTCTTCCGTCTGAAGTGAACCGATGCACTTATTAAGGAAATGAAGGTGCACTGACATGCACAGTAATTTCACACAAATGCTACACATTTTGAGAGCCTGTCCAGATGGATGTGTGCCTGGAGGGTGGGGGCTTCACTGGTGGTTTGTTCTCATTCCCTCCCCCCCAAGCTGGGAAGTACGCACCAGGCAGTTTTGTTGTGCTCGCTCTGTGTGCACTTAAAAGATTCGGGCAACCATCCCATCCTTGAAAACTAAGTCTGGCTCCTCTTGCCCAAACCTCTTTCTACCATGTCTTGTTATTTAACTTGCCTCTTCCTGTAAGACTGCAGGGTTGATTGTATGCCATTGCCTGCACCTCAGCCCCTAGCTTTGTAGTGTTGAGGGGCCCCATTTGGGCTGAATGGTAAGTACTGGGCTTATGGTGATGAATGTGCTGGAGAAACAATGAGTGAGACCTTGTGATAAATCAGTTGCAACATTGCTTTGTGTTGACTTGA